GGGGGGGGGGGGGAAAGGGCTCCCCGGCCGGCGATGGGTGAACGTGCGACAGCGTCTGCCGAGGGGGCAAAGCGGGCTTGCGCGCGCCACTCGGCCACACCAGCAACCCGGTGCCGAGGTCGGGGTCGCAGGCAGAAGCCGCGACTGACCGAAGTTCACACACCTGCCACGCCGGGCAGCTTGAGAGGCGTGCGCGCGCTCGCGGGGGCAAAGGCGCGCGCGAACACATTCCCGCGCCCCGGGCCCGGCCGCCCCCATCCCCGCCCCTCGGCCGGGGGAGCTCGTCCGCGGCCGGTACCCCTGTCATGGGGAATTCCCGAGGACGATTCAACCCCGAGCTGCGGTGGAAAAAAAAAACAGGGGGACCGGGGGCTGGAAGCTGGGGGCCCGAGGCGGGCACCTGCGGCTCCCCCCGCCCGGCCGGGGTGCCGCCCCTGGCCGGCTCCGGCGCCCGCCCTCGCGCTCATGCACTGAATCCCTCCATGGCCTCCGACCGGTCCCGCCCCGGACAAGCGGACATACAGATCACGCAGAATTCACGCCCGTTGCGACAAAAAAAATCCCACCAATATCTGTTAGTTGTGTTTATGTAAGTTACGCTCTGCGCTGGCTCTGGCCACCCGCCCTCTCCCGCGCCCTCTCTCGGCTGGCAACTGCCTACACGGGAACCAACACCCATGGTGTGGGGAGCCCCGGGGCGCCTCGTCAGAGTCCCTCCTCGGCGCGGTGTGGCACCCCGGGATGACTCCGCGGGGGCAAGCGCACTGTTTAATACCCGGGCGCTCTCTTCCGAGCCTCCGGCCTGCGGCCCTTTTTTCTCCCCCCGCCCCCCCCCCCCGCCCGCTTGGCGGCCACGCCCTGACTCCGGCCGAACTGCAGCCGCGCAATGTTCTCCCTATGGCATACTCTTCGCCGCGATCACCTCACCTGGCCTAGGGGGCCTCCGACGCCGGCGGAGGAGAGTCTGCGTGCCCCGAACGACCGGCTCCCCCCCGTGTCCCAATTGCAGCTCTTCACCACCTGGACGCTTGTCGCACTACACCGATGTTGCCGCCCCGCCCGCCCCCGTCTGGCCCGCCTTCCCTCCCCTGCCAAGCGCAAGAGCACCAATTTGCCACCAAGCGCAAAGGAAGTCAACTACGTCCGCCCCGTCGCGACACTCCACCTGCGCCGTCCCCCCCCCCCCCCCCCTCCCCCGCCTCCCGAGCCAACGTGAGAACCAGCTCGGCGGTATCTTTGGGTGCCTGCTCCGGTCGAAAGGGAGGATCAGCCAGCCCCCCCTGAACGGGCCCTCACCTCGATGAGCCGTGCACAACTGTTGCATCCATTTTTCGAGGCCCCTCAGGTGTTCGCTGGAGCAAGAGCCCGACTCCACCGCGTCCCTCGACCTCTTCCCCCATCAAGCCTTCACAAGTGAGCGTCCCCCCCCCCCCCCCCCAGCGGTGTGGCCTGGGTGACGAGTAAACCGGACTCCCTCGGGAAAGCTCGTCTGCAACTCACGCCCGGGTCCGAAGCCGTGGCAAGGCACGCCCCCCCTGTCCTGGCCTCGTGCGTCTGCCGTCCCAGGTCGGGGTCATGCTGCGCTGACCGGTTTGAGCACCTTCGTCGATGCACATCACGCAAGTAGGCCCGCCCGCATGCCGGGAGGGCACGTGAGGACCTTGAGATCACGGCGGGTTTATTTTGATCTCGGCATTTCCACTCTCCCTCGTCCCGGCCCTCGCCCGCTGGCCCCCCCCCCTCGGCCACCTTTCTTTGCTCGTTGTGTGCTCGGGCAGCACACCGCCCCAGCCCGAGGCGGCTTGTCTGGTCTCAAGGAACCTTGGCCGGAGTTACTACGGCGGATTGTATGCGACGCCCTGAGGAGGAATAAAAAGCAAAAGGAGCCACCCGGGGGGTGGGGGTGCTGGCTCGCGCTCTCCAGCCCCCTTTCTCCTCTGCTCTCCTTCTCTCCCTCTGTCTTTTTCCCTCCCTCCCTCTCCCCCACTCCTTTGCTCGTTCTCCATCCCTCCCCCCCCTCCCCCCCCCCCCCCCCCATCTGCCACCCCGCCTCCCCCGTTCTTTCCTCCCTCCCCCTGTTCATCTGGCCATAGGATGACCGCGCGGAAGCAAAAACGCGGCTCTGGCGCCCGCTCCACACAGGCGACCCCGGCCCCGGCCCCGGTGTCTACCCCAGTTGCCTCGGTCGAAGAGCCGAGCCAAGCCACGACGGTCCCGCCTGGGACAGATCTCCTGGCGGCCGCCAACTCAGCTACTGCCGCCTCCGAGGCCCCGACTGCCACCACCAATGACGACCCCGCTGTCGAGACTGAGGCTCTCGTCCAGGCGGAGGCCACTACTGATGATGGACCTGTGACTGATGCCGAGCCCACCGTGGAGGCCGAGCCCACCGTGGAGGCCGAGCCCACCGTCGAGGCCGAGCCCACCGTGGAGGCCGAGCCCACCGTGGAGGCCGAGCCCACTGCCCAAGTGGAGCCCATCACTACCCACCCGGCCAATGGAACTGAACTCACCGGCGCAGACCAAGTTCATGAGCTTGCCGAAGCTACGCAGGCCCTGGAGGTTGTCGATGCTGAGGTGGCCATTTCCGAGAGCATTACCGAGGTTTCCGAGCCCAGCGCGGCCGATGACCACGGTGCCCACCACATTGACGGCGTCTCTTCGGATGTCGCCCCTCTGGATGATGGCATTGAGGTCATCAACGTGGATGCTCCCCTGGCCCTTGGTGACGAGGAGGTCATCGAGCGTCCCTCGCCAGAGACCGCCTCGCCGACTCCCAGCAGCTCCGATGCCGGGACGCTGGGCTCCGAGGACGCGGTCGACCAAGTCGGTGCACTCTCCTCCGACCCTTCGTCTCCGGCGTCGCCGCCCTCGCGCATGACTCGCTCCGCCTCGACTGCCACCTCGCCCTCGACCACCACCTCCTCCTCTTCGGCCGACGACCCGGGGATCATTCACATCACCAGCCCGACCACCCGCCAGCCGTTGTTCAACAACCTGGCCGAGTTGCTGCCCAACAGCCGTGCTCGCACTGGGACCCTCCCTCTGGCCACCGGCCCCCTTCCGCCCGGGATTCCTCCCGGCCGGACGCTTGTTTCGATGAAGCCGCGCCCACCGCCAACCCTCCCGACGGGCGATGCCATCACCCCAGGCTCAGCCACTGCCACCATGATTTTGTCCATGATTCCCGATGGTGAGCTATCGCAGGTGGTCACCACCCAGGCCATCGCGTGCGTTGATGCTTCTCCTTTCGAGCCTCCATCAACAGCAGTGGCTATTCTCTCTCTCTCTTCCCTCAGCGAGCCGTCCATTACGGCACGCACTTGTTTCCTCCCTCTTCCTCCTCCTCCTCTCCTTCTTCCTCTCCCCTTTCTCTAATCGGTCCTGCTCCCTAACTCTTCTTTCCTTCCACATACACGCATGCGCGTACATCAAAGCCTCCGGAATCTCCATCAGGCCAATACTCGTCTTCGGGCCCTCAATGCCTTCGCCGCCGAGCGCATTGGTACCCTCATGCCCTCGATGGAGAAGCACATCCGCTTGCTGACGACCATGCGTGCCGACCTGGACAACGTTTTCCACCGGATCAGGTGCGCTTCGATATCCCGACATACTTCCCCCTCCGCATCTCTCTCCCTCTCTCTCCCTCTCTCTCCCTCTCTCTC